GTGTGTGTGTGTGTGTGTGTGTGTGTGTGTGTGTGTGTGTGTGGAGATGCGTGTGCGAGGATGAAGGAGGACAAACTGTGGGAGACAGTTCTCATCTTTCACCCTTTCAGCATGTGGGTTCTGGGACACGAACTGAGGCATCAGGCTTGGTGGCAAGCATCTGTACTCTCTGAGCCATCTCATTGGTCCAAGAACTTCAAAAAGAGAATTCTGTCCAATTTGTTTAGATGTTTCTGATACCAGAACCTGCTGTCTGTACAGGTCCATATATGGTCATTTAGTGCAAATTTGTCTCGCTTTGTGACTCTGGACTGACCCCTTTAAGCATCTCTCTCCTTGGGCAGTGGCCTTTGTTAGCAGAGGGAGAAGAGAGCTGTGCCCTGGCCCATCTGTGTCCAAACAGCCGTGAGTGAAGGCTCTCACTATGAGTTTCAGCTTAACAGCTACTTTCTATGTTAACTTCTAGAATCCCAAAATCCTTGTATCTTTCAGGGATTACCTTTTCTCAGGAAATAATTTTTAAACATTAAAGCATAGGTGTGGTTTATTATTACTTTATTTTTATTTATTATTTATTAATATCTTCTTATTGGACCCTGACGGATACAGAGACCCCTTCTTCTCCCCCACCAAGAGCTTAATAAGTGCTTACTGAACACCCAAGGAGCAGTGGCTGAGAGGGGAGTTTAAACTTCTCAGAATTTTAAGATTTCCCGAATTTCAGGAATTATTTCTGATGAACCTTGGAAACATTTATTATATTTCTTACACTGACTGATTGGGAGCAAGGTTTATTCCACAACATTTATATGGAGGTCAGAGGGCAATTTGTCCCGAGTTAGTTCTCTCCTTCCACTGTGTGGGTTCCAGGGGTCTGATGGCAGGCACCTTCACCCACTGAGTCACCTCTCCAGCCCACAGGCACTTCTGATCCGTGGTTGTTTAAAACGTAAAATGCTGTCATTGTAATACATACTTTTTATTAATCATAGCATATTTCTCTACTAAATACCAAACATAGGCTCAGCAGTTAGGAGCACATGCTGCTCATACAGAGGACCAGAGTTTGGTTTCCAGTGCCCACACAGTATCTCACAACTGCTTGCAGCTCCAGTTTCAGGGGAATCACACCCTCTTCTGGCCTCTGGGGTACCTGCACTCACATGCTCAAGCCATGCTCCCAGAACACATAATTAAAAACGAAAGTGTCAAATATCATAAGCTGCAGAATTTGTTGCAGTAGATGGGAAATTTTTGTTCTACAGGAGCTCATTTTAACCACCTTCAAAATGAAGGTCAGAATAAGGCTGCTCTTGAGGACAGTCCAAATGTCCCTAACTAGTGCTGCTGAAGAAGGAGACCTTACCATTTTCCAGTCCTGGTGTTGGTTGTCTCCAGGTGAATAGACATCAACTTTGCATACGCCATTTTGGCTTTGTAACCAGTCAACCCTATCTGCCATCTGGCAGCATTAAAAGAAAAAGAAAAAGAAAAAATCACCAAAAGGTTACATGAACAGTAGGAGAAACAAAGAGAATGGCAGAGATACAGGAAGCAGGAGCCATGCTTTCCACAGAGACCTATAGAAAGAGCTCCTTCAGCCCTCTCAACCAGTTATCATCAGCCTCAGCTCTCACCTGCGACACAACTTCTCAAACACGTTTACATCTCTAGAGATGAAGCTGATGCCTGGACTGTATTGTTCATACTTAATTATTTGTTAAATGAACGAATCTGTCAGCTGTGTCTTACTTTGTTCCCTACCAACACCCCGCTTCTGATTTTCAGTAGACACTCAAAACCAAATGTGACCAAACGGATTAATTTACATTTTCCTTGCCTGTTCTGTCTACATGAGCTAGTTTTTAACAACGGAAGCTTTGTTTCTCATCCCTTTCTAGAGCACTAACTTACACTGGTAATCTTCCTTGAGATCATTCTCTCTCCAATAAGCTAAGATGCTGGGAGATGCTCAGACTCCATGGTCCAGGGTCCAGGATGCAGTGGTGACTTGGCTAATGCGTCCTTTCACGGCCCTCTTGACACTTTGCTCTGTTCTCTCATTTCAGCAGTGGTGCAACCAGCTACCTGGTCCTCTGGCTAGAAGGCTGAGATTCATTTTGCCTGGCATCCTCTACATAAGATACCCGCCCTCACCAGCCGCTAATTCTTTCACCCCCAGTCGCCAGCCATTGTCTTAACCCTTGCTGCTTTACTGCCTCCCTCAGAGTCCTTAATCCAAATCCTCTTTGTTTTCAGTCTCATCCACTCTTCAAAACCTGGCATTCTACGTTGTAGTATTTGAAAATGTAGCCCAGTGCCACAGAGACTTATGTATCCTGCTTGTCAACCTGAAGTGGCAAGAAAGGTCTCTTTGCCCTCACTTTCCTTTCCCATGCCCAACTTCCCCTTCTGGGTTCCACACTGAAAATTCCCTATTACAAACTCGGCTCCCATCCATACCCTTCAATGGCAAGATGAAGTAAGACGTCCAACTCCCCCCACCCTCCAAACGTCCTGACAGTCTCATGAAACAGACATCTATCTGTAGATTTGGATTACAGCAAAAAACTGCTTTAAAATTCCATTAGAGTAAAGGTCAACATCTTGCTCGAAGCTGACATCATGATCACAAACAGCTGATTGAAAAGCATGGCAATTTTTAGTGGTGTTCATCTGATTAACTGGAAATGCTTGTTTGAACAGATGTTGGCTGACGTGGGGGCATGCACCCTTGCTCAAAATGAAGACAAACTCAAATCCCAGGTCACCAACCACATGCTGAAAAAGTAATGAAAAGGAAGGTCTGCCGGGATGACGCCTACAGGTAAAGATGTCTGCTGCCAACTCTGATGATGTGAACCTGACCCCTGGGGCCCACATGATGTAAGGAAAACTGACTCCCACGAGTCTTCTGTCACACGAGCACCACAGCATGTGTGTGCCTGCCTCACTGCCATACCCGTACAATCAAGAAAAATATAAAAAGAAAAAGAGAATAATGTTTACAAATATATGGGCATGTTGCCTTTGTTTTGGAAGGTTATGGATAATTATTAAAGGGAAATCAAAATATAAAATCACTCAAGAGCTGTTTTCTGTTCTCACAGAGATTCTCATTTTCACACTCTACTGTCTCTATTCTCATCCAGATGACAGAGATTATCTGAGGAAACATTGGATTTTCCAAAATGAAGAACTCATGCAATTACTCAAGAGTGGAAAGAAACTGAATCTGGGGCTGAGGGTATAGCTAAGCAGTAGAGTGCTTGCCCAGCCTGTGGAAGGCCCTGGATATGACTCTTAGTAAAATAAATAAAATAAAATAAATCTATCTATCTATTTTATCTATCTATCTATCTATCTATCTATCTATCTATCTATCTAGAGAGAAATAAAAATTCTAAATAAAAATCTCCTTTCTTATGGTTTTTGCATTGAGAGAATTTAGGCATTAGATTTCTTTTTTTTTTCTTTTTTTTTTTTTTTT